TGGTGAAAGTTATTAAGTGTGCAAATTCCAAAACCAAAAAAAATGTCATTGCTACGGAAAACTGTATCTCAGCAATAGGGAAGATTTTGAAGTTTAAGCCTAACTGTGTAAATGTAGATGAAGTTCTTCCACATTGGTTATCATGGCTTCCACTGCATGAAGATAAAGAGGAAGCTATTCAGACTCTGAATTTTCTCTGTGACTTAATTGAAAGTAACCATCCACTTGTAGTTGGTCCAAATAATTCCAATCTTCCCAAAATCATCAGTATAATTGCAGAAGGAAAAATCAATGACACTATTAACTATGAAGATCCTTGTGCTAAACGCCTAGCTAATGTTGTTCGCCAGGTACAGACTTCTGAAGATTTATGGTTGGAGTGCATATCCAAACTTGATGATGAACAGCAGGAAGCCTTACACGAATTGCTAAATCTTGCTTGAAGCACTTTAATATTACTTGAATATCATCTGCCATAAAAGTGACTACTAATAAATGTTGAGTGGATTCTGTTATAAATGACAGAATTGTTCTCTCCATTATAAGTGGTTATATTTCATCCCCATGTTTCTCTAGGACTAGTCACAGCCTTTTGTATACTTTGCATGTTTTATCTCTTAACATAGACCTTAGTAATAACTCATGTCTTAGAATGTTTGTCACTTACCCCTACTTGATTTGCAGTAAGTATAAGTTGTTGCTGTTTGAACAAATATCAATGCTGCAGTTAACTTGGTGCCAAGAAGTCATCCTGACTGTCACAAGATACTAAGAGCTAACAAAGGTAAGATAGAACTTCCAGGACAAACATCTTTGAAGTTATGACAGGCTTATTTATTACTCCTTGATACTACTACTTCTGCTATTTATGGTGGTAGAAGAATGGTAGAACTGAGAGTGAGTTTCAAGATATTGCTGTGGAATGTGAGAGTTTTCTTTATAATGTATGTAACCTTTGATATGAGGTACTCCTGAGAACCAGTTGTGACATATCCAAATTCCAGTTCACAAGGTGTTCAGCTGAGAGTTATGAGAACATTTAAATCTCTTTAAACTGTTCTCCATTTAAAAAAGTTAATCAGAACAACAAGAATTATAGTTACTGAATTATAATTACTGGTGCATCTAACATTGGTAGTATGTAATATACTGTAATACTGTGTTTGACAAATAGCAAGTTATCAGTGTTTGTGGGATAAGTGTATATGTTTTAGCGAACTATTTGTTTGTATATGTGTGCTATCTTTTTCCCTGCCAAGCAGGTCAACAAGAAGAGAAGACTTGATTCAGAATGAGACCCAAATAGATTCAGGTTGTGAGGAAGTTCATAGCAAATACTATAGCAGCACTGAAGGATATTCTATAGTAAAAGTGAAAAAACAAAACAAAACTTAATCCTATTTTTAAATATTAAAAATAAAACAGCTTTGAGACTAGTCATTTACCAGTGTAAGTGCATTATAAGAATACAGCTCTGTAAGTCTGTTCTATTAATTGCAATGTCAGTCTTTGGTGTTGAGCTTTTTATAGGGTAGAAAAAAGCTTTCTATTCCATAAATCATCCATATAAAACTTAAAAAAAACATACATCTATTGTGACTTCCTGGGGATATTGTGAATACTGTGTACGTATTCAGCAAATATTTAAGAACAGTAAGTGCTCAATAAATCATTGCTGTTCATTCATCTCTATTGTGTGTCTCTATATTGGTTTTTGAGTTTGGAATTCCTTTTGGAAATTTCCTTTGGAATTTTCCAATTTACCCCTTACCACTTCAGATTGGTAGGTTGGGCCACTGTAGACAGGGATATAAAGTTGAGATCTTAGAAATGTGTTTCCTTGGGCTGGGAAGGTGGCTCAGTGGTAGAGCACTTGCCTTGCATGCCTGAGGCCCTGGGTTCGATTCCTCAGCACCACATAAGCAAAAAGAAAAACAGCCAG